CGGGGAGGTAATTGATCGAGCATTGGCAAAGCAAGTGAAACTTAACTCTTGAGAGCTCTTATATTCTTGAATTGTTTCTGTTTACTTTTCTCGCCCGAATTGTTATTTACTTGAATATTACGGTTTTATTTGTTAAATGGGATTGTTACTTGGACTACGTGCTTGCATGTGTGTTCTTGGCCTCAGAGCAATCGCTCACCCTGTAAATTTGTCTTCCTTAACAGGAGCGAATTTGGAAAGGATTATGAAAAAACCTATTTGATAGCTCTTTTGACTAGAATTTTGGATGTACTTGTTTAGACATCTTTTGGGACAGTTGTATATTTTGGGAAATCGATGTATTTCGAACTCGTGGTGTAAGATTGGATATTTATGTATGGAAGTGACTCCACTTTTTTAATTCGTCTTGTCTCATTAGTTACTATTGTATTAAGCTTAAACGGGAATTGTCTTGAGTGCTGGTGAGAGTGGGGCAGGCGTTCCGCAGATACCCTTGGGTTCGCCCTTGGAGAAGTGGGACGTCACACCATGGGTATTGTTTACTGTTATTCCGCTGAATTGGATCCACTGAATTTGATATACTCGAGTATTACCACCACTGTTACTGTTTGGTGTTCGGACCGATAGCAGGTTGAACGGTGGACGGAGATTGGAGTAAAGTGGTGATCTATATATATTATTACTGTATTTCAAACGTTGATGAAGTGTCAACAGACTCGAAAAACGCTACTGTTGGACTGGCTGCAAGTGAAAAAATGTATGGGTCTAAGGGCTACGCCTGAAATTTGATAGAAGCCACCATATCAGTTGTATCAACGTTTGAATCCTGGGTTCTCTGTCTAGAATCTGGCAGGAGCTACCAAATCAGTTGTATCAACGTTTGAATCTTGGGTGCTTTGCCTAGATCCTGGCGAGAGCCACCGTATCGGTATTGTATCTTTTTTGTTGGTGTTAAATTTTTTATTCGAATATGTGAACTGCTAATGATTTCACTTATTATTTTTTATTTTCTTCACTTTAAGATTTTTAGATATTGGTTGATGTCGTGCCCATTTGACTGCATGTGTTCTTGGAATCTCATTGGGCAATAGCTCACTCATTAATTTGATTTTCTTACAGGGACGAGAGGAAAGGGCATGTGATTCGGAGAAGGTTAAGATTTTGTCTAGAACCCCTTGACTTTGTAATAGTGCTAGTGCTCTTCTAAAGTTAGTAACTCAGTTGAACTTGAATCTTTTGTAACATTTTGGGTCTGTATAGATATTCGCAGTAAACAAATGTACATATATTAAGTTTGAAAATTACTACTCCTCTTGCTTTTGAAGTTATGACTCATGATTCTAATAGTGGTGAATGAGTTCTGACGAAAGTTGGGCAGACAGTCCGCCAAACCTTTGGGTACGCCCTAGGGGGAGGTGGGATCGTCACATGAACTCTGTATATACTTGTGATAATGTATGAAAATTTTATGTTAGGTTGCGCTAGTTATTTTAGCTAATTTTTTTCTTGTAGTTGGACCAAACAAGAGTTAGACAGGCATTTCATTGGGGTTTCGAGATGGGCACCCCATTGGGGTTTGGATATGGAATCTAGTTGCATCATCATAGAAGTTAAACTTTTGATAAACAAAACTTCTAAACATCGATGTGGATATAACTGGTGATCTTAACAATAGGAAGTCCACATCTGGATATTTGATAATTTTTACAAGAATAACAGTATCATGACAAAGTAAGTTATAGAAGTGTATCGCCTTTTTTAGTACGGAGGCATAATATATCGCAGCCACTAAAGCATGCAAGGAGACTCTTTGATTGCAAAAATTTCTTCAAGAGTTGGGTATGAAGCTAGAGAAATATAGCATTTATTGTAATAGTCAGAGTGCCATTCATTTGTGTAAGAATTCTACATTTCCCTCTCGATCCAAGAATATTGATGTGAGATATCATTGGATTTAGAATGTGTTGGATTCCAAGTGGTTCACACTAATGATAATGATGCTGACATGTTGATTAAGACATTATCTAGGGAGAAACTATTGTTTTGCAAACAAGAAGCAGATTTGGTGGAGCTTCCAAATGAACTAGAGGGGGAGATTCTTGGGCTTGTGGTCCAACCCATTTGGTGGGCCAAACCACAACTTAAGCCCATTAGATTTCCAAGTCAATTTTTGACTTAGATTATGTCATGTACTAGTCAACTTGACTAGTACAAGTGGCTGTAGGTTTTCATTTTTAAAACGAGAAGAAAAGCTTCAGCCGCTTTTGAGAGAGAAACAAAGAGAGAGAAATTTGAGGAGAGAAACAAGAGAGAGAAACAACTTCAAGATCTTGATTGAAGAGTGATTCGAAATCTAATTGAAACGAAATTTTACCCACGCGATCTTCTTATCAAATTCTACCCATTTACTAGTTTAGATTTTGAATTTCCTCTTCATTTGATGATACCTTTCCAAATCCACTTTTTTGACAGTTATAATTTTTGGAGGTGATTTTGTAGCAATTTTTCTTAGTTGATTTTGGTGATATTGTTGTCATCCTATATTTCGGGTAGACCTATGTATTTCCATTATTGTGATAGTGGAGTTTTTGATTGGATTAGGTCCCGTGATTTTTCTCAATTTCGATTTTTCAAGTTAAAAATCTTGATATCCTGTGCCATTTATTTTTCTGTATTTTATTATTACTATTGGCATTGTTGTTTGGTGGTTTGATTTATTCATATTTTAACTAGTATTTTGGAAAAACAATAACTTGTCCTGAGTTAACTATGATATCGTTTGCTTATACCAGTACCCTTTTCCCAACACATTGGTCTATCTCAAGTTATCATACTGAATATGTTGACCTTCAAGATAGAGTATTTAAGGTGGTTCAGGAAACATTATTTTGATACTTTTTCTTTGAATCCTTTGTATTTTTTAATTGTTAAGTTTGCTAATAATGATTATTACTTGGATGGAGGTGTTATAAATTCCACATGTCTTACTTTTACATGGGTGAGAAAGAAAAGAAAGTAATAATTGTGCTATCAGTTCAGGAGAAAATCATTTCTTTTAACATCAACAATATGTTTGTTAAGGAGCTTGATACAGTAGAGGAGAGAAGTATTTTTAGAATGAAACCTTCCACCACATTGAGACACTAGCTGATATTTAATTGTTCAATATCATTGAGGTAAGCATTTTGATTTACATGGTATTTTTTTTGTCTTAATCTCCGAAATCAAGAGTGTATATATGAATAGCGGAGAAGCTTACATATTTCCATTTTAAATACTTTATTGATGGTTCTTGGTTAAAAAACCCCTTAAAAGATGATTTGAACATTATTATGTGGAAAAAATAATAAGAATCATCAATTGAGTCATTGCTTTATCATTAGGTCTAAAACCTTCACCAACTTTGGCTAATTTGGACCTTGTTATGAGTGTAAATCAGAGTTAAATGAAAATATAAACTCAATCTTTATCAATTTCTTATTCAATAATTGCTAAATGTAAATTAAAAATAACAAAAGCAAATCTTGCTACATATTAGATTTTTTTTTTATAAAAATTGTGTTTTCCTCAATGTTACTTTTGATTATTGGTTGAAAATTTAGTTGCATATTCAAAAGTAATTTGGAGACAATATGCAAATCCCATAACAGATTAATACATTCTTTATGAAAAGTTTCTTCACTCCAAGCTAGAATAAAAATTATGGTTTATCATTATCCAAATCTTAAATTTAATAAATCCTCATAAAAAATATAACTTGTTTTGTACAAATACTGCTATCAAGATTCAACTTGCATTGGGTACAAGAAGGACCACTTGAATGTTTAGAAAATTAGCTTTCTTTTAATTGTTTAGAAAATTAGTTTTGTCCTTTCATTATAAGAAGGAACACTCAAATAGGTTCTACTTTTGTGTCCTTTTGTGATTAGTTTATGAAAGCAATCTTACTCAAATTTAGTAAAATTATTTCTTTTAAAAATTGAAGACTTTAAACATGTAGGATAAAACTCTTTCTTAGGGCTGATGTCTTTTATCTTATATATAAAAACAATTTATATCTTCTATTAGAAAGAAAACATAAAAGGAAACACGTGCATGAGTATCAAAAACTATTTACTTTTGAAAGAGAGAACATCTACAAGTGACGTGCATTAAACGTGCATCTAAGAATGTTTGAAACTATTGGACTTATAATAGATTTAGCATTATACTCCGTATCATGGATTCTATTGCAATATTCTACTTCATATTCATTGTTTTATCTTTGAGTACACACCAATTAAATGTAAATATAAAACTTTTGGTCAATTAGCAAACAAACAAAATGACCGACAAACCAAAGTATTGCACATTCATAAACTATGTATTTATGGTACCTTATCATATCTTATTTTTGTAATATAAATAGTAAAAGGTATATAAAGATGCCTAATATCACTAGCTCTTGACAACAACAGAATAATCATAACTTAACCAATGTAAACCAAATTTTAATTTGGGCATTAATTTTATTTATGTTCTAATAATTATTTATTTAATTTCACTCTAAAAGTTCTTGTTAAGGTTCCTATTAGACTATATTTTTATGAAGGTTTTTGACAAGATTACAATAAATGATGTTAACCTCTTCATATATATATATATATATATCGTGTAAGTTCTATGTGACTATTGGCTCTATTTCTCTATTTTTTAGCTCTTGATACTTCCCTTTCATTGATGACATCAGAAATAGATAATAAATCGTATATTTTTCTAAAACCTCTATTAAGATGGAAACCTAATCCTTTGAGTAGTCCTCATTTGATAGTAATTTTTCTCACAATTAAGACAATAAATATGCTCTATGTGCACTATTTTGTCGTATTGAATGATGATGATGATAATAATAATAATAATATACTTTTTCTGTACCCATCTAGTATGGTTGTGCCATTGTCGAAATACAAACACAATTTGGAAGTTTTCTTGAGATAACTGAGGATCCATTTGACAGTATTTCAATGCTCCTTACCAGGATTAGAGAGATATTGACGAACTACCTTAACTGCATGAGCTATATCTGGTCTAGTGAAAATCATAGCATACATTAAACTACCAACAGCAGATGCATAAGAAATATTTCTCATATTTTCTTTATCTTTCTCACTTGTAGGACACTGCTTAATGCTTATCTTGAAGTGATCTGCAAGTGGAATAGAGACTTTCTTAGATTTACTCATGTTAAACCTGCAAACACCTTCTCAATGTATTTTTTCTGAAACAACCAAAGTTTTCATTTTGCCTATCCCGAGAGATTTTCATCCCAAGAATTTGTCTAGCCGAATCCAAATCTTTCATAACAAATGATTTACTTAATTCCCTTTTCAACACCTCTATTTTCATAGCATCACGACCAACAATCAACATGTCATCAATCTACAGTAAGAGAATAATAAAATCACCATCAGAAAAATTCTTCACACAGACACAATGATCATATGTAGTCCTATGGTACTCATGGCCCGTCATGAATGAGTCAAATTTCTTGTACTACTGTTTTGGCGCCTATTTCAATCCATACAAATTTTTTCTTAGACGGCATACAAGATTCTCTTTGCCACTTTCTTTGAACTCCTCTGATTGTTCCATGTAAATTTCTTCTTCTAAATCACCATGTAGAAAGGTTGTTTTCACATCAAATTCCTCAATCTCCAAATTCAAACTAGCTGCAATTTCAAGAACAACCTGGATTGAGGACATTTTTATCACATGAGAGAAAATTTCTTCTGGTTGAATCTCTCCACAACTAATCTTGCCTTGTACTTTGGCTGTGAACTGTGCTCTTGAATCTTCAACCTATAAACCCATTTATTTTTTAGTACTCTCTTGCCTTTAGACAGTTTTACCAAGTTATAAGTGTGATTCTCATGTAAAGACATCATTTCCTCTTGCATAACTTGAACCAATCTTCTTTCCTCTCATGCTCTAGAACCTCACTATAGGACTCTGATTCCCCTCCATCTGTCAGTAACACATACTCATTAGGATTATATTTGTTAGAAAGTCTCCTTTTGCTGGTAGATCTTCTAGGTTCATCTTGTGGTGGTGGTAGAGTTGGCAGTATCTCTTACTCAAATTCATTAGTAACAGTATCATTACCATCAATATCCTCTCTCTACTCTATCTCAACTCTCCCATGATCAAAATCAACGGGTACTCGAATTGGTTTTGAATCTGAACTAGCAAGAATATCATCTGAGAATCTTGACTTGTCATCTTTATCAATGCTCTCAATTGTTTGATCTTCAAGATAGACAACATCTCTACTTCGAATCACTTTCTTTTCAATAGAATCATACAGTCTATAACCAAAATCTTTATGCCTATAATTCAATAAAATACATGTTTTGATTTCACATCAAGTTTGACCTCTCATCTTTGGAAATATGAACAAATACCTGACAACCAAAAACTCTCAAATGTTTAAAGCACACATCTTTTTCTGTCCATACTCACTTTAGGATATCACCATCCAAAGGAGCTGACAGAGAAAGATTATTCAAATCAACTGCAGTCCTCATTGCCTCACCCTTTTGGTAGTTTATCATTGAAGAGCATGCATCTGACCCACTCAATGATGGATCTATTCATTCTCTCTGTAATTCCATTTTATTGAGGAGTTTTTTGCATTGTCTTTTCTAGTCTGATCCCATGAGACTTAGAGTAACTTTCAAATGATCCCCTATATTTACCACCATTGTCAGCACGAACACACTTTAACTGTTTGCCAGTCTCCCTTTCAACTTTATTATCAAAATTTTTGAACACATTTAAAACCTGATCTTTGAATTTTCAAAGCAAAATACCAAACTTTTCTAGCAAAGTCATTAATAAAAGTTACAAAATAAATAGCACCACCAAGAGACCTATCTTTCATGTAACAAATATCAATGTACATCAACTCTAACGGATTTAATTTTTTAGATGGAGAAAATTTTTGAAATGCAATTCCGTGTTTTTTTCCATAAATACAGTTAACACAAGCTTTATGTGCATTACCTCTGATTTCAGGTAGGAACTGTTTGAGTACAAGTGTCTGAATCACCTTTTCACTCATATGCCAAAGTCGCCTATGACAAAGGTCAATGAAGGAATCATGAACTATATTTACTTCTCCCTTCTCCAACTTGACTTGCATTAAGTAAAGGGTACACTACTTCTCTCCTCTGACAACAACAAGATTTTCTTTGCTAAGTTTTCATTTGTTTCCACCTTACGAGTTATGGTAACCCTCATCATCAAGTTTTCCTATAGAAATGAGATAAGCACGAATATCAAGAACATGTCGAGTATTTTTCAAGACTAGTTGGCACCCGGTATCTGTATCTAAATACATGTCTCCCATGCCAATAACTTTACACGAGACCTCATTTTCCATCCTAACATAACCAAAGTCTCCTTTGGCATAGGTTGAGAAGAAATGTCATGAGGAGTAACATAGTAGTATTGTGACGCCCCCACTTCTCTCAAAAGCGAACCGAGGGTATCGGTGGGACGCCTGCCTAATTCGCGCCAGAACTCAAAACACAAAATAATAAAACTAGATAAACCAAAAGAATACTATTCACAGTATATACAACCCCAAAAGAGTTCTATTTACATCCTCAAAAGGAGTTATCCAAACTACTACATTATCCTATGCTAAATCAAAAGTAGAAAGTAGACCCAAAGAGGGGTTCTTATATAGATCACCAAAACAAGAAGAAACATCTTAGTTGTTCGGCTATTACAAACCAAGCCTAACTATTCTAGTGATAGTGCCAAAAGAGTTCTATTTACATCCTCAAAAGGAGTTATCCAAACTACTACACTATTCTATGCTAAATCAAAAGTAGAAAGTAGACCCAAAGAGAGGTCCTTATATAGATCATCAAAACAAGAAAAAACATCTTAGTTGTCCGGCTATTACAAATTAAGCCTAACTATTCTAGTGATAGTGCCAAAAGTCCCCCGCGTCAACCCCTGTTAAGGAAAACAAAGGAAAATGGGTAAGTTATATGTTTAGTAAGTAAACAGGGGTAAAAATGTAAATTTCACATTAAGACGAACAATTACGTCACAAGATGTCAAATCAAAAATATAAAAGTAACAATACAAATTAAGGATACAGGTTGCTCCAAAGCCACATCATGTGCCATGTGTGACCTCCTGTCGACATTCCCGTCGACCACTGATAAGGTCCGTTAGAACTCCACTTGTACTACCCACCTAACACCTTATCACCCTCACTGGCCAGTCATCTCACGAAATGGCTCCGAGCCAAACGAAACGAAATTGAACTTGATTCACAAGCTCGCGTTCACAAATTTGGTTTACAAACTTGGTTCACAGAACCACAAACTTGGTGACCTTAAGACTAGTTACTGGAATTCGACCAAACCCAACCGGCTCGAATAGTCCGTCTAGGTCTTAAGATCGGGCCCCACAAAAAGTCATCCCGAACTACAAGCTCAAGGGGTTTAACACCAAAATACTCATATATACACATCTCATAAAGAAGCACAAGTGCAAATTAGGATTTAGATCGAGTATGATCAAGTACACCTCGTCTAAGTACCCTCTCATTCACACCAAATCACATAAGCAAGTTATACACAAAAATGGCCTGAATACTTACACAAAACACAAAGATAGCACAAGGGCGAAAATCACTTCGCGTGTGATAGCTAGTGGGCCCACTGGCTCCGTCTAACTCGCCACCATCTGTAATAGAAGGTTGCACTACATTATTACACAAACCACTACTAAAGTACATAAATCAAGCAAAACAGCAAACGAAACAGAAACGGCCGGCAAATGAAAACGGGATTTGGCACCTAAAACTGTTTGATCAAATTTCAGGTTACGGTTATCGATCGAAGTGCATGTGTACCGTTACGAAGCTAAGAAGAAGGGCTACAACTTCATGAAGACACCTCAAGTAGATCTCAATGGAACTAGGACAAAAATGCACAAGACAGTCCCAACCGTTTCAATTCAGGGTTACGAGCAGGCCCTGTTTGAACGACTATAACTCATGACTCAAAATCAGAATCAAGAAATTCTAGAGGCGTTGGAAAGCTCATTTATAAAGCTATAACTTTATGTTTTGACAAAAGCTGAATCAGTACAGGAGCATAGGGAAAAATGGGTCCAAAATTCCTGTCAGAACTGTCCAACTTCAAAGGTAGTTCTGACACCCGATCTGTTTTGGGTATAATAACTAGAGTTACGGAACTCGGATTTGGACGCACTTTATGCCGTTTTGAAGCTGAAACAAAGATCTACAAGTCTTATGAAGACCTCAATACCCAGTTCCTTCGTTATCAATGTGAACTGAGCACGGTCAGAAGCAAAATCAAGAAACGTAGCACAATTCATAGTTTAGAACAGAAGCGAGGGTTTTGGCCATAACTCAGGCTACACATATCCGTTTGACCTGAAATTTTGTAGGCACAACAAGAACTTAAGAAGCTACAACTTTCATGTTTTGGGCAAACCCTAAATCAGTACTTAGCACAAAGAAAAATGCAGCCAAAGTTCAGATTTCTGGGCTGCCTTGTTTTCCAGTTTAACCGGTTTCGCACGTCGCAAACGCTTGGTCCGTTGCTATGGTTCTCATGCAAGTTTTTCTAACCAATTTCATACCAAATAAACACACATATGTCAGCTCCTACATCTTACACAACTAATCCAAAGATTCTCCATAAAATTCCACAAAAACTATCCAAACACGAACCACAATTTCGAACTAGCGTTATATACATCACTTAACCTAATCCAACCATTACTTAGCCAAACCCTATCCAACCAAACCCTAACCAAGCTAATACACCCTACCTTAACCTAGGTTTCTTGATTCAAACCAGCCCTTGCTATCAACCAACCAAACAAATGAGGCAAATCATCAAACATATCAATTGCAAGTTAAACAACACAAGATTAGAACTAATTCACATGTGCATCATTAAACCCTAACTAGGGCAGCCATAACCAAAAGTTTTGGAGCAATAAACCACCAATATAATCCATAGAAACATCTCACCATCACTTCATAAGCCATATTAAGGCTCAACAACAACCATACACTTCATTTCCAACCATCTCAAAAATCATTAACCAAACTTAAACTTGCAAGAGCTTTCTTACCTTCAAACAAGGTTGATAAGGTGCAAGCTACTACAACAAGCTCTCAAAGAGGTTTCTCCAAACTCTAACTTCAAGATTGATAGACAAAAGTTGATGCACCAAAGAAATTTTTCTTTCTCTCCCAAGCTTCAAGTTTCGGCCCTCTCTCCCTCTTTCTCCTTTTGATTTTTGTTTTGTTTATTTCTTATGATTATCTAGCAAATCTTATGATATAAACTTAGTCAAAGCATTAGAAGATATTTTCCCTAACAACAATCACATAAAAGCTTCAATTTTGCTCTTTAGCACTTACACTCCAACTTTGCATGTGATCAACTCTTGCCCTTAAACATTTGAACTTCTAACTTTTTACTCCATAGGATCTAAACTTAATCTAGTCCAAATTACTTAGTTTCTCTACTAATCACCCACTAACTTAATCATCTATACTTAACCATGTATTAACATACACAAATGCCAATTAAACAACAAGCTTTTTGTCATGGGAAATATTAAGGGTTTAAACCCAACTTAGGATTCTAATAAATCATAACACTAGAGATTTTTTTTCTAGTTTAGGGTTTTCTAAGTTTTTAAACTTACTTAACCTTTATCAAATTGATCAGATCCTATACTTACCTGTACTAAAACACACACTAGCATAACTAACTGTAACTACAACTCGAACTTATGATTAATACAAAGACTAGGTTTCAATTCCTAACCCAAATTAGAGTTTTCTAATTAGCCCTAACACCTAATTTTACCGCACAAATAATTCATTTCACCTACTATCAAACTTAAGGACTAGCCGGGGTCTCACAAGTATGCACCCGAATCAACTATTCATTCACTGTCATGACAAGTAATATTTACATGACCATCATTGCATAACACAAGCATATCTTCATGAGCTGCCACAACTGATGTAGTTTCTTTATCATTTTTTTTCTTTCGCCTTGCCTTTGCCCTTTTCTCAACTTATTCCTATTTTAAGATTTTGCACTCCTTCATATAATGCCCATTCTTTTTATAATAAAAGCATGCATCATTTTTTCACGATTTAGACCTGTCTTTGGATTTGTCATTCCTATTATGGGGTCCTCTACTTTTACTTTTCCTTCTTCCTTCTTTCTTTTCTATCACCAGGACCTGGAATTCATTCACAACTTCTTGTTCCTTTCTCCTAAGTTCTTCATTCATCGCAGCCTCTTTTGCTATATCCTTGGTCAACATACCATTTGGAGGTGAATTACTGATAGAAACCATCATTGTCTCCCAGCTATCCGACAGTGTACTGAACAATAGCAAAACCTGCACCTCATCATCCAAGTTCAAGTTCAACATAGCTGCATGGTTTATCAAGCTCTGAAAATTACTCAGATGCTCAGTCATGTCTGCACCATCTTTGTATCTCGTCCGAGTAATTTGCTTCAGACAAGAGAATCTATAATATCTTTTTTTCATACATACTTTCTAACTTTTTTCACAGTACATTAATTCTAGTTTCATTAGCAAAGTGCTGAAAAATATTCTGACCAATCCACTTCTAATATTATCAACAGTTTTTTTTTTTTTTTTTTGCATAACAGCCCACTTCTCATCACTCATATCACATGACCTACTCTTATCCCCTAAAATAGATTCAAACAAATCTCTACAATACAAGTAGTCTTCCATTCTAGACTTCTAAATCGAATAATTAGTTACATTCAATTTTATTATACAACTACTATCCGAATCATCCATTTTAACCAGTATAAATAAGCAGTCTAACCTGACTACTGTAATACCGCTTTATTGAGAAAAGGGTACCGGTGCAGACACACAATATCAGAGTTAATCCAAAATAAATTACTCTTTTCCCAATTACCAGTTAAAATAGGAATAAATCAAATCACCAAACAATGATACTAACAGTAATAATAAAATGTAGAAAAATAAAAGGCACACGACACCAAGATTTTTAATATAGAAAATCCAAATTGAAAAAAATCACGAGACCTAGTTTAGTCAAAAACTCCACTATCACAATAAAAAAATACACAAGTCTATCCGAAATATTCGGATGACAAGAATATCACCAAAATCAACCAAACGAAATGTTACAAAATTACCCCCAAAACTACAACCGTTAAAGAAGTGGATTTGGAAGGACGTTACCAAACAAAGAGAACATCCAAAATATGAATCAGTAGATGGGTAAAGTTTGACGAGAAGATCGCGTGGGTAAAATTTCGTCTCAATTGGGTTTCGAATCACCCTCCAATTAAGATTTGACTTTGTTTCTCTCTCAAATTTCTCTCTCTTCTTTTCTCTTCCAAAAGCGGCTGAAGCTTTTCTTCTCATTTTAAGAATGAAAACCTACGGCCACTTGTACTAATCAAGTTGACTAGGACATGACATAATCTAAGTCATAAATTGACTTGGAAATCTAATGGGTTTAAGTTGTGGTTTGGCCCATCAAATGAACTGGACCATAAGCCCAAGACAATGTAATACAGATGCCCTTCTAATACCAAAATAAGAAGATTAAATCTTATATACACAAATATTATATGTACTATTACCGTTGGATACATGACATATGTACAAAAGTTAAATTTTAAATTCAAGTATATATATTGTTAATGTAGGAAAGATTAATCCAAATAAAAATCTCTATAAAAAAATAATAATCATTGATCATGGAACTAGGCATTTCAGGCCTTAAGACTGTCATAGTCCAAAACAAAACACAAAGCACTACCCAATTGACTAATCCAACGAATATCACCCTTCCATAATAATATATTTTCAAAAGATACAGCTTAAGATGCAACAACGAATTTGCAGTCTCTCTACAATCCAATTTAGGATGAATACACTAGGAATCGAAAACGAATTTCTACTGCTCTCATTCACGCGCATATAATCTTCCAATGATCATAGGGTCAAAATGGATATTGATAACTGGCAATATATCATACTCTTCTGCTTATAAACGTTTAAACTATACCAATATAGATATGTGGCTTACATGTTTATTAACTCAAATGAAAAAAATACCCTCCGAGAAAAAAAACAGACCAACTTATATCCCAACCAGCATTAATCATTATCTTGTCCTTACCTAATTCAGCTTCTCCTCAATCACAAGTTCACAACTCATTCTACACTGAGAAACTTGTGGAGTGAAGCAATTTTGTTGTTCCATATTTTTTTTATCAAGTGAGAAGAGACATTTGAGATCTAGAGCAGTGTAACTTAAACTACCTTCATTTTTTTTAGATGAAATGAACTTTCAAACCGTTCAGCATTTCATTTAAACCCTCGCCTCAGCCCACTCCATTGGTGTTATAGAGAAAGTTTTGACTAATGCAAATTTTTATAGAATTTAATTGAAGCAAATTCTAAATGGTATTGGGGCTAAGTCAAATAACTGCGAAGGAAAATCGTTTATTTAGTCCTCAAACTTTTGACTAGGATAGGTTATTCCCTAAACTTTTATTTAGTCAATTTGGTCTTTAAAGCTTAAATTTTGGACTTCTATATACTTTTTTGCCAAGTTTAGCCAAATAAAATTTTTTTGACACTAGAGGAGGTAATAAAAATACTTGGCCAAGTGTAGTCTTTGCGCAACCTCTTAGATGCAATGCTAGGTCATGTTTAACCTTTACTGGACATCTTTACTGCCCATCTAGCATAAATACACACTTGACTAAGCATTCAAAGCCAGTAATTAACCTTGTTTCTACTAAAAGCCGCTAAACAAATAAGATGTCCATGTGATTTCCATGACTACCATTATTAACAAGTTATGAACATGAAAGTGTTATTTGTACTTTGGAAAACCATCTTTTCTGCGTATATTTAAAAGCTTTGCAAGAATTGCATGCGCCATTTTATTTTTAACTTATATGTATAAATAAACTGCATAGCTCGGGGGAGAAATGAGTTGAATCACATAGAAGGAGGAAATATAAATAAGAGGTACCGAATTTGATAGCTCACACTTACACTTAAAACAAAAAGATTAGGTCTTAGAGAAAAGAGAACTGCATAACTCAACAGTGGTGGTAAGTGCAGTGTTTGAACCACACGTTACTCAACCCATATTTTTTGCGTTTTTTATGTTTTGACTCACAAGTCAGACCCCAGAATACATGTAAGAGGATGACGAGACAGCCAAGGCCTTAGTCTGGTAGAGCTTGATGGTGGATTTTTCAATTTGAAGTTATCTTAGTTGTATAATTGTTCTAGGGAAAAGAGCAAGGGGTCCAAGTTTAAAATGGCTAGAGGAAATGCCGTGAATGACAATGGCTGCGCAAATGGAATTTGGCAATGGAAATGGCCAAGATGGCAAAGTACCACTAATGGTGATGCCTGCGCAATTTATCATTGGGGATGTATTATTATGCACGATGAAGACAGTTCAGGTGCCTACTTTAGATGGTTAAGTGAACCTGACAAATCACGGAAATGCCAATGCGAGGTTCAGTAAGACCAATCTGATATTGGTATTCATGCAAAGTATTTCGCAAGAAAATAAGTGATGATCTAAAGAGAATATCCTGATATACAAAGCTACTCATCAAGGCAACGGAAATTGGACAGGGTGGATGATCTACAATTCCTCATCTTTCCTCATCGTCTAAGCATGCAGTACAAAGTATCTTTTGTACAACTTAAGCAGATATATTGATTATATGCCGATTTATCTATCCATAACACAATCTTCCGTGAAGCATGAACTACTAATAAATTTCCGATTCAATTGGCTGTACAAACACTATGCTCAAACTACAGTCTTGAAATGCTTGAAGGTAGCGATAAAAATCTGCTTGTACCACCCTCCTGGTTTAATGCCTACAATCTACAAAACTTAAAAAATAAAAATTAACAAATTGCAGGAATTAAATTAAAAGTTTTGTTCAACAAGAGCAGAATATTAAACATCAAACTCCTGATAAGCACAGAACAAGGAATTTCCAGCCCACTTAGTTTAACTAATACCTCAATTCAGCTGCTTCCAAAATTTATCGCCCTGCTGGTTTGACGCCTACAATTCACCAAAGAAAAAAAGAAGAAAAGAAAAAAAAACGTAGAATCCCAATTATCTCAATCATGAATAGCAGGAACAAAATAAATTCATTGAAAATAGCATTTTACTGATCGTTTCATTTGGTTTAGAAAAAACAAAATAGAGTTATTTGCCCAAATCTTATCACAATCTCTAAGACTTTGAGGAGTTCCTGAACAGAGACAAAATATGTCAAAATTTTCAGACACAGAGAAGTCGTTCAGGAATATGCTTTAAAGACCGAACAGGGAGAAACTAATGTCTTTGATGCCCAGCTAACAAAAAATTACAGACACAGCTTAACACATTATTAACCTCTACAGGACTGTACCAAAAAGATTGATAATGATATTCAACACTAATTTCTAAGAGGCGCAAGAAGCCATGCATACCTCTGCCGGATGAAAGTCTCCTCAAACAAGGCTTTTTCTAGTCTCTCCTCAAAAGGAGTCTCATGCCAACAAACTTTCCGATCCTGCAAACATAATCAAATTTACCAGCTTTCTTCTTCATTTTTTAAGAGAAAAGAAAGAGGCAAGAAAACTTCAAAATAGGAAGAGAAGAAAGGAACGATCAGGACGGAGAGATATACCTCTCTGTACTTGTGTGTTGTATTGGAATTCCATTCCCATCCCACCATTTGGGTGAAACCTCTTTGCACTTGTGTATTCTTCCCTGAAACTTAATCCAGCACATAGCCCACACCTTAAAATCAGAATATACACCGACTAAAATTCTATCCAAGCATTCACAGCAGGGAAAAATAACTCTAAATTGAGATAAATTACAAAGCTCCATGGATCTCAATCCACTGGTAACTATTACAGCAAATCTCAACTGTTCCATGCTACACATGCAGAGAGTACTAGCAAAACCTAGAAACATGCATATGACAATTACAGAACTCTTAAACTTAAGCCCAAAGTTATCTGTCATGACAAGGCCATAACATTTTAATCTTATCAAGAACAATATTACAAAACTTGAAAAGAAAGGACTCTAGACCAGAACATGTTCAATGCACAAAATAAGCAGACCAAATTTAATGAATTAGTCTGACTTAAAACAAGAAGGGATCTACTATCTTAGCATTGAAGATCATACTAGAGCAACAGACCTCATCCTTGAGCTTCTTTATATTGGACTCAAGTTCAGGCTTTGGCGTTCCCAAGTCTTGATCTTCCTTCAACTTAGTTGGAGTATCATCAGTCTCTTCAATTTTGCGAAGTTTTGTCCAAAACAAAACAAGATTTCTCCCATCAGAATCCCACAAACACAATAAGAAAATCAAATAAATAACACAGAATCACATGAGAGAATACCTTCAGACAGTAGTGCTGATGATAAAGGAGTCTGATTTCTAGTCACCGCACCCACCTGATCATGGAATTCCAAAAGAGATTCATCTTTATCCCAGTCAGAGGCATCCATCCCAAGAATGGACCTATCTACTTGAATTCTACAACAATGGGAGTTTTCACCAGCAGCAAACTCATTATGTTCGGGATCACCATCAGGATCTCGGAAAAGTGCTCTTGGCCAAGAGGACCAAGAGGACCAGCTTGCCTCTACCTTCAACTCTTGTCCCGCTGAAGTTCCACCTGTCCCCACATCTGACATAGGAGTTTCCTTATCAACACGTACACAAGGTTCTTTAATGTGACTGTTCTGATGATCATTAGTATCTTCATTCTTCAACTGTTTCCACTGAGAGAAATTCTCAACAGGATTCAAGACAGAATACAAATACAGAGATGTGATACGAGTATTTTTGTCCTGTCCAAAAGCATCTAGATATACAGGGAAAACTATTCCAGATGTTTGCATCTTATCAGACAGTTTGATTGGGGTTGGATAACAGGAAGAATTTGCAGTACTTAAATTGCTTGCTGATCCAGATTGATTCAAGCTTTGAGTAGATGTTTCAGATGAATAGTTTTCTGATGTAACTGAAGAAGTATCAGAGTAACAATCAAACTCCACAGACTTGTTCTCACCTATTATGAATGGAGAAATATCCCTGGGTGTAGCTAATGAACCTGTAAGGCCGTTTCTCGAACTAGCAATAAGTTCGACGGATCCAGCATCCTCAATTTCTTTGCCTTCAGTTGAGCTAGTAGAAACTCTTCCAGCATTTTGCCTATTAGTCATGCAACTTCAGAATCAAAAACATGAAAAAAAAGAAGAAGTTCAAGTAAATGGCAAATAAAACAGAGGAATGTTCTGATGTTTGGAGCAAGATAAACTACCATAAAGCACTGTATAGTAAGGAATTCGGAAGGCAAAGACAATGATCAGCTTTTATAACAAACTCTCCCATGGAATACTAGTGTTTTCCTTAGACCTGTTCAAAAAAGAGACTTACTCCTTTTTTAACTCCAAACAAAAAGATTATACATGAACCAACGTCTGCCTACTGAATTATACAAACCATAATAAATAAAAACAGGGACGGAAAACCAATAAAAGTTATAAAGTTTATGTTCAACCAAATTAGTAGAATAAGCTTAAAGTTCTACTTGAGCTATGTCTAGTAAATTATAAAAACCATGTAGGGGAGAAATCTAGAGACAAAAAAGAAAACCAAAGAAGAGGTAAGAAAAGAGAACAGATTAGAATTTATGTAGTACAGAAAAAAAAAATGAGAGTTCTGCAATACCTTGTAAGTTACCATTCTACGTCATGCCCAAATATGACACATTCTAAAGACTAATAGGGAGGCCAGGTATTATACCTGCTAGATTTATGCTCCAATGAACCAGAAACCTTTACCCCGCCGCCCACAACATTTCACTGGTGTCAGGGGCTGCTCAAATTTCACTTCTAAGTCGCGTTCCTCAACAGATGTATTGGTGATCCATGATCTACATCTTGAATTCTCACAGCCTCCCTTCTGAGCTGATAAATTGTTCCATTTTCTCTGGAGCTTGGCAAAAATTTGCAGGAGTTTCACGTAATGTTCTACAAGCCTGCAGCATAGTTTGCCGAAAACAGTAAATACCTTTAGTCTCCACATAGTAGATAAGTGAATAATGCTGCCCTGAAATAGTGAAAGATGTATCTAAAGTTAATTTTCACTGAATCTCAATCCAGCAAATGGCACACCCTTAATTATTAGAAGATTTACCAACTAGGATTTTATCCTAGATTTAGCAGCAGGGAAAAGTAACTCTAAAATGAGATGATGGCATGAATAATAAAACTCCATGGAGCTCAATGCACTGATAACCAAATAGAAAATCTCAATTGTTCCATACTACTTAATCTGACAGTACTAGCAAAATCTACAAACAATCATATGGCAGTTAAAGAACTTCGGAGTCAAAAACCAAAATTCCATAAACGTTTCATTTTTATCAAGAATGGTAACCTGAAACTTGAAGAGAAAGAATTATAAGCCAGCAGGCATTCCACAAAGTCTTTCTACATGGATTTATATCTGTATAATCCAAAAAAATGCAAATCTCAGAGGAAATCAAACAGGAAGCCTCTTGTAGCCTATGACAACCAGAGCAAGTTCAATGCACAAAATAAACAGACCTAATATAATTAGTTCACCTATCTTAACTAATCAGTAACACGGAAGAATATTACATGTTACTATTGAAGATCATACTAGAGAAACAGACCTCATCCTTGAGCTCCTTCAAGTTGAATCCACGTTGGGGCATTGGTATTCCCAAGTCTTGATCTCCAATCAACTTAGCTCGTGCATCCTCATTCTCTTCATTTTTTTTTCAGAGGTTTATCCCAAACAAAACAAGATTTTGCCGATCAGAATCCCACAACGGCAATAAGAAAATAAAAAATTTAAATTCAGATGATAGAATTACATTTTAAAAAAATTACCTCCAGACAGTGGTAAGGATGAAAAAGAACTCCAATTTCGACTCAACATGCCCAACTGTTCATGAAATCCAAAAATATCACTGAATTGATAAAAGGTAAGAAATTTACTCTAATTCACATTGAAAATTCCAATTTTAGGAAAATGAACAATAACTCAAACAAACATAACAATGTGCGAATAACAGAATAATCTTTCGGTTTCTTCAATTAAAACCAACAAATAATATCCAATAATTTCCAATTCCATTTACTCACCCCAATTATTAGGAAACATCAAGTACTTCTATACATTTCATCAATTTCAGCATATTACGTGCCAATTTCATTTTGTTTTAATCATCATATTTGCTCACAAAATCAAAACTAAGCCCAAAAAAAACCTCAACTATCACTGAAAAGCAAACAAATTAATAAAAATTCCAAGAAACCAACATTATTATCAATTTTTTTACCAAAAAAAATTTAGAACAACACCAAACCGCTACTCCGATCATCTTAGTGAAGAACATCTTCACTTGGAAAAACCCCTGCCGCATTGTTTTAGTCAAAAAAGTCATCTTTTCAACTCATTCTCGCTCGCGGCAACAGAAGAGTATTTGTACTAAAACGAATTTAACTGGAAAACCAGCGCAAATAGAGATTTTGGAAAAGAGAGGAACGTTCAATGAGGCATTTCCAGTTTCCAGTTTTCCACTGCTCAGCCAGTCCCAATCAAATTTATACCATCTCGTCCGAACCTTTGCCGCCATAGGGGTTAATTACCAAAACCCCCTAAGGTATGTGTATTTTGCACTTCAAACCCTAAGATAATTATTTTCTCATTTTTCTCCCTCTGTTGGTGAAATTCGTCAATATGACCAAAATATCCTTGTTGTAAACCGGTGAAATTTGAGAAAGGTACCTTTGAGGAAAATATATTGAAAATGACTTGGAAGTTTTCGAAGCCAAATCTCTGTTTCTCCCCTTTTTAGGTATGTCGATTGTAAAAATATATATAAAAAATAATAGGAAAAATCATTCAAAACGTCCCTCATATTATGTATAATGATTTTTTCGTCTCTCACTTTTAAAAGTATAATTTTACGTCCCTTACAAATTCATAGTGGTCAAATTTGGTCCCTATCTAAGTTTTCGATTAGTTTTTTACCAAAATCCACCACACGCCTTGCACGTGATCATTTTTTAAGAGCAAATTTGTCAAATCAAAGTTTAGACAATTCAATTTATAGTCCCTCATACTTTACAAAATGAATTTTTTCGTCCCTCATATTTTACAAAATGAATTTTTTTTGTTCCTTACATTTTACAAAAATAAAATTTTCCATCCTCAATTATACAAAATAAATTTTCATCTCTCATTGATCATGTATATAAATAGTTTTTTTCTTAAACTCATGTATGTATCTATTTGATTTTACCTAAATAATACGAATAGTAGGTGTACAACTATAATTAGCCTATTTAGACGAAATCAAACAGATATATATTACATGTTATTCATACTGTTTAGCTAAAATTAAATAGATATATACATGAATCTTAAAAAATTGTTAGTTTTTCACTCATGTTCATTTTATGTTACTCAAAAATTGAAAACAAAGAAGAGATTTAATCCGAAACATTGTCAA